TTCTAAAATTTATTTAGCACTTTGTTTTAAACATACAAATAATTTTTAACGTTTCATTTAGAAATTGAACATTACGATCGAACTTAATAATTATGTAATTATTTATGCATAATAGTGCAAGAAAATATTAATTTGGAAAAAACGCTTTAAAAAAAGTTTTTAACACTTTGTTTTACGCGTATTATGAATTTCTAAACAAACATTTCAATAAATATTTTAAGTAAGATTTGTACATTGTAGTCAATTTATTTAATATCTTTCTTAAGCTAAACATATCTATCTTCAAATTTATAAATTGATTTAAATCAATCTGAGTATGAAGTTTAGAAATCTGCAGCCTTACAAGTAACTGAAATTTAAAAATACTATATCGCGATACAACGCTATATCGCGATTTAAAACTGACGATGCATCACGATATATAATTTCTAATATCGCCCAGTCCTAGTTGTGAGTTTAAACAGCCTTTTTAATCAATTTCATTTTTATCACAAGACATTACTTACGTTGCTTTATAAGGCTTCATGCTATTTTTGAATTAACAAGATTTATAAGGAAATACAGCATTAAATAAAAAAAGAATATGAATGAAACCCGATCATAGCTATGAATTGAACAAGGAAAACCTGCTTATCTAGAGAGTACACAAAACCCAAAACCATCCTGCCATGCGGTTGCAAACAGTTTTCAAATCAAATCAAATATGCTTGGAAACTCCTAAAGTGCTCTGAGATGACACATGAGAGAGGAAACAATTATGTCAAATATTTGAGATTTAATGTTTCGTCAAAACTCACTGTGCTCTGAGAGGACGCATGAGAGAGGAAAAAATTCCGTCAAATATTTAAGATTTCACGTTTCGTCAAAAATTCACGTGATAAATCCTGTTACAAAAATCGCGTCAATTAGTGACGAAACGATAACCAAAAATAAGGAAACACAGCAGCACAAAGACGGCAGAAATACCAAAAAAAGTTAGTTTTATTTCTAAGAGCGCCTTCTCATCTATCGTAACTTGTTTTCTGGATCAAAAAATTCATTAACAAAATTCCAAAACTCGCTGAACATATAACAAAAGATTCACTTGTAAGTAAGAACAAAGGTTTATTCATAATAAGTTATAAAATTATATTGTTGAAAGACAGTATAAAATAGCAAATAACTGCAAATGGTCCATTTTAGGTATTTGATATGTTCATTATTAAATAATATGCGAAATGTCACTTTCTATCAGTTTATTACACGGACATTAGTGTATTTAAATTTGTCCTTATTGCATCGAGCATGATCCTCACTTTCATTACAGAAACTTCGAAACTTAACTAGAACTGCAGAAAACTACTGATTTTTAAGCTCTTAAATCAAATTGAAGGCTTTGAGAAAAATAATGATAAGCCACGTTTTTAAATTGTTCAGGAAAGCATCATTTATGATTTCCATGTAGACAATAAAATATTTCTGTGTATTGTGCTGTGGTGATTCCGAAAACCTATAAACTACACTACATGTTAGAAAATAATGCTAAGAAGCAGTTTGGTGAAAAAATATCACATTCAAAAAAGTAAAGCGTATCACTAGGAGAACTCAAGCCCCTTCAAATATAAAATAATATAATATAAAATAAATACCTCTTATTTATAAATATGAATAGTATCACATTTGAAATAATATGAAACTTAAATTCCTAAAATCGTGAAATATTTAATGAATAATAAGTAAATGTTATATAAAGTTCAAGAATATATAAAGTAATTATTCGCTTTATTCTAATGTTTAGTGTACTATTCAATATTAATTGTAAAGAGACCGTGATTTCTCTTATTTAGTTAAATATCCATATGAATTGACTAATGTGTGTTAGAAATTCTGCCTACAGCAATAAGTTACGAATGCTTCATTCGTAAAGCATATATAATCGCAGGCGCACGAATCCCGGATTAGCCATAACTTAAATTATGAGGCCATTAGCGAGCTCTTGACAGAGAATTATATTTATTCCAGTCATGCTTATAAATATTGTTTTCAAGCTCATCTTTTATTCATATACTGCATTTTAACTGAATTCAATTTTACTTGAGTTATAGTCCTCAATGTTAATCAAATATATTGTTTTACTTTTTATTCAAACTACATAATTATCAATAATCAAAATAGATCGCTTTATACCTGGTGAGTAATGATAAATAGTTTTAAGTTCACAAATATCTAACTCGTTTCATAAAAAAGAGCGTTAAAAATTGCCTAATAATATTTAAATTTTGAATAACATATAGTAAAAAACAGTCTCTAGCTATTTGATTTAAATATTAAATTAAAACTTTTGAAATTAGCAAAATTAAATAGTTTTAATTCCAAAAAA